GTGGTATCAGAGCAGGGAATTCGCCCAGTCATGTCCAACCCAGACAGTAGCAGTTGCAACCCACCCCGTGACGGAGATCAGGGGTTCTCAGCTGTTTGGAGAGCGATTGAAGAACAATGCACGACCACACGTAACATCGAACAACAGTTGGCAGAGGTGACTGAGCAACTGCGAACCTTGTTACGGGAGGTTGTCCCATGGAACCGGGAAAATCCACAACAGATCGAAGGAGACGACCATGACAGACCACCCATCGCTACTGTGTCCCGACGTCCAGTTCTTGATGACGACAGTGATGATGATTTCGAATTTGGTGGTGCTCCAGTTCTTCCTGACAACGACAGAAACGGCAGAAATTGCCACAATCAAGGTAATTTCAATCCCCGTAGGAATAATGATGAATTCAAACTTAAAGTAGATATTCCTACCTTTAGTGGAGATCTTGGCATAGGACTTCTGGATTGGATCACAGAAGTCGACAGATTCTTTGATTACATGGAAATACCAGAGGAACGAAGGGTAAAACTAGTAGCTTTTCGATTAAAGGGAGGCGCATCTGTTTGATGGGAACGGATGAGAGAGACCTGGATTAGAGAAGGAAGGGGTCCTGTTCGAACCTGGAGGCGCATGAAACAGTTAATCAGAGGTAGATTTTTACCTCCTGACTATGAACAATATATGTTTGAATCTTATCAGCGGTTCACGTAGTGTTAATGAGTACACATCAGAATTTTTAAGATTAGCAGAAAGAAACCAGTTGTCTGAAAGTGATAACCAGCAGGCAGCCCGTTATTTGAGCGGGTTAAGACCGTCCATCAGGGACAAAATTGGTGTACAAATGGTTTTTAGTGTGCAGGAAGCAAGGAACCTAGCCTTGAAAGCAGAATTAATGTTTCAAGACAAGGCACGCAGTGATAATTACCGCCGGTACAGTGGGAGCGACAACAGACCGACAACTGTCGACAGGAACAAATCAGTCCCGGCAGTGCAACCCTCTCACCTGGCAAGCACCAGTAATGCCGGTAAGGCTACTACAGGAGGACATACTCGAGGTAATCCTTCCAACCCTCCTAAACCCAGTAACCCTTATGCAAGGCCTGCTCCTATTAAATGTTTTAAATGTAATGAGGTTGGACATAGATCCAGTGACTGTCCCAGGAGGAAGGCAGTTAATRKGGTAGAAAGGGAGGAGGAAGAAGATATTGAGGAGGAGGTATACTGTGGGCCTGATGGGGAGGATGAAGAGGGTCCATAYGAACATGAGGAGTATACTTGTGTGGTCAGAAAATTAATGTTGTCCCAGAAAAATAAAGATACTTCTCAAAGACACAGATTATTTTGTACCAGATGTACTGTCAAGGGAAGATTATTTAATTTAATTATTGATAGTGGCAATTAGGAAATATTATTTGTAGGGATGTCATCCAACAATTACAGTTGATTCCTGAAAAACATCCCAACCCATACACAATTGGGTGGATCAAGGAAGGAGGCGGCGTACGAGTGGAAGAACGCTGCAAGGTACCTTTTTCGATTGGTAAGTACCATGATGAAGTATATTGTGATATTATTGATATGGATGCTTGCCATATTTTGTTAGGGAGGCCTTGGCAGTTTGATACAGATGCAAGGCACATGGGTAGGAAGAATACCTACCAATCGGGAAAAGAAGGTACACGTTATACTCTGTTACCCATAGCTGAAAAAAATATTACAACTGCTCCAAAAACACATGAGAAGAATTTCCTTACCATCACCCATCATTATGCTGAATTTGTTAAAGAATGTAAGGATACTCATGAAATACATTTGCTAGTAGTAAAAGGAGAAGATGTTAATGATGAAAATAAAATTCCAGTAGAAGTACAGGGACTACTGGATGAATTCAATGATGTAGTTCCCGAGGAGTTACCAAATGAACTCCCTCCCATGAGAGACATACAACACCATATTGATTTTGTTCCAGGTGCCAGTCTACCTAACCTCCCACATTACAGAATGAGTCTTATCTTATCTTATCAGTTTAGTCTTATCTTATCTTATCAGTTCAGTAGGATAGATTAAGGGTCTAGCATAACTGGTCTAGCATCGGTTTAGTCTTATCTTATCCTTCTATAGGCGCTTTATTAAGAATTTTAGTATCATGACTCCCATTACTGAATGTTTGAAAAAGGGGAACTTTCAATGGGGAGAAGAACAAGAGCAAAGTTTTGCTCTCATAAAAGAAAAATTATGTTCTGCTCCTGTTCTTGCCTTGCCAGATTTTAATAAATTATTTGAAGTTGAATGTGATGCTAGTGGAGTTGGCATAGGGGCTGTATTGTCCCAAGATAAGAGGCCCATTGCTTTCTTCAGTGAAAAATTATGTGAAGCCAGAAGAAAGTGGTCCACCTATGACAATGAGTTTTATGCTGTGATTAGAGCCCTGAAGACATGAGAACACTATTTAATTGCAAAAGAATTTGTTCTCTACACTGACCACCAGGCCCTAAAATATCTTAATGGGCAAAAGCAATTAAGAAGTGATTTGCATGCTAGATGGTTTGCCTTCCTAGACTCCGTCTTCGTGGTGGTTGATAGATTCTCAAAAATGGCTCACTTCCTCCCATGCAAGAAAACAACAGATGCATCCGCAACAACCAGATTGTTTTTCAGGGAGATTGTCCGCTTGCATGGGGTACCCAAGACCATCACATCAGATCGTGACACACGGTTCCTCAGTCACTTTTGGATGACCCTGTGGAGGTTGTTTGATTCATCACTTAATTTCAGCAGTACAGTCCATCCGCAGACAGATGGACAGACAAAAGTGGTA